AGATTGCCATGTATATTGACTTCAGTTCCCCCCCCCCAAAAAAAACATAGAACAGAGAAAGAAAGCAAAATAGAATGCAATCAATAATAAATAATATCTAGGGCCAATCAGTTTTTCAGACAGAGGGCAGCATTGCATGATTATACACTATAGTGAAGGCACAATGTTGGTATAAATACTAAAAAATTTAAAATGTAAGCAAAATCAATGTTTTGAAATCAGATGTTACCAAAAAAGATTCACAGGACATTGCTACCTCATCAAATTATGCCCTTTTGGGGGGAGAGCGTTATTTTTAATTTTGGAGATTCATGGATACCATATAAAGAGACCACAGACATTGTAATGTCAATCTACAATGCACATTTGCAAAAGAATGACTGGCCTAATATCCTGGAATGTATAGGTTACTAATCACACAGCACATTACAGGTATTCCTCAACTTATGACCACAATGAACCCAACATTTATGTTGTTAAGTGAGAAATTTGTTAAGTGAGTCTTGACCCATTTTACGACTTTTCTTGCTTGTTAAGTGAATCACTGCAGTTGTTAAATTAGTAACACAGATGTTAAGTGAATCTGGTTACCCCATTGATTTTGCTTGTCAGAAGGTAATAACATGAGTTCAGGACACTGCAACAGTCATAAAGGTGAATCAGTTGTCAAGCATCCAAATGTAAGTAATGGGACCATGAGGATGCTGCAACGGTCAAAAGTGTGAAAAATGATCGTAAGTATTTTTTTTCCATTGTAAATTTGAACGGTCAGTAAGCGAACTGTTGTAAATCGAGGACTACCTATATCATTTATTTATTTATTTATTTATTTATTTATTTATTTATTTATTTATTTATTTATTTATTTATTTATTTATTTATTAGATTTTTATACCGCCCCCTCTCCCGAAGGACTTTTCAAACATTATGGAGCACACAGTAAGTTCATTCAACAAGCATGTCAACTACATGCTCATTCTGAAATAAAATAGTTAAATATAAAAATTCCCCTCAAAATAATAGGAACAGAACAACATCCAATTAGATGAAGGTTTTGTAAAGAGAAGATTATTAGGTTTCAGATGCAATATTCACATCTGCATAGATACCTCTAGCTGAAGGGATTCAGACCAGTTTAAAATCTGAATTATAAAATGTTGTTGGAATATAACTTTAAAATCATCACGAAGAGAAAACTCAGGAGTGCAAGAGACCAATTTATTATTGTAATATATTTTAATAAAATATTTCTCCATTTTGACCTTTTCTCTTCTGTTCTGTTCTTCACTAAAAATGAACAAATTAAAAGTTAGTATTTTATTTAGCCATACTGCCACGCAAAAGAAACTACACATAAATTTCTGCAGAAAAAAAATGAAACATGCATTTACAGGTAGTCCTTCACTTACGACCACAGTTGAGCCCAAAATTTATGTTGCTAATGAGAAATTTGTTAAGTGAGCTTCGCCCCATTTTATGACTCTTCTTGCCATATTTGCTAAGCGAACCATTGCAGTTGTTAACACGGTTGTTAGGTGAATCTGGCTCCCCCATTGACTTTGCTTGTCAGATGATTGCAAAAAGGGATCATATGACCCCAGGACAGTGCAACTGTCATAAATACGAACCAATTGTCAAGCATCCGAATGTAAATCACTTGGGGATGCTGCAACAGTCATAAGTGTGAAAAATGGTCAAAAGTCACTTTGTTCAATGCCACTGTAACTTTGTACGATCACTAAATGAACTGTTGTAAGTTGAGGACTACCTGCATACATTTGCTAGACTGAGCTTCTTACCCTTAAAACAATGTGTAGAATGTTAATGTTACAGTGTATTCCAAATAAAAATTATATTTAAGGTTTAAATTTTCAGTCTGAATTTCAACCCATTTTGGCACAGGGACACTTTGGTCATTCCATTGGACTATCTGTACCCAGACAGAGACACAGCAGTTAACATTCCTGGTTTTGATACATGTAGTCCTCAGATTATGACAGCAATTGGGACCAGGATTGCCATCACTAAGTGATGCAGTTGAAAAGTACAATGTCATGTGTGTTGTGGTCCACCAGCAGCCTACAGACCTGGCAGCAGAGTTGGACAGTGAGGAGGATGGGGAGGACCATGGGCCAGTCCTGGAATCTGGGGAAGGCCCGGACGAGGGCTCTGCGTCGGAGGCAGAGATGGGGCCAAGGTCATCTGGGAGCAATACGCTGACTCCAGAGCCTCCAGAGGCGGACAGCAGAGAGGCAGAGGAACAGGAGGAGCCTGTTCCTAGTGCACGCATGCGAAGAGCTGCCAGAAGGCAAGAGCACCTGAAGAAAAAAGGACAACTTGGGAGTAAGGCCAGAAGATGATTGGCCACTCCCATAAGGCTTAAAAGAGCAGCAATGAGCTGTTGGTTTCTTTGTAGAAAAGCAACATTGATTCCCGTGCTTCTTGTCAGCGTCTCTTGAACTTTATGGGGATTTTGCCAAGAAAAGTGCTTGGCAGGTTGCCAAAGACATCAAAGGTTGGCGATAAGGCTGAGGGACTGGTTATTAAGAACTTTGTTTTGGACTAAGCTGAGAATGAATTAATTCTCAGCTGTTTTAATAAACTAAGTTTGTTGAGGACTGAATTGTGTTTGGTTATCACTACTTGTGCCTTGGTCACGTGACTGCATTGCTTAGTGATGGAATCCTGGGCAATCCCACTTGCTATTGTAATCCCAAAACACATGGATCATTAAGTGGAAAGAGGCGAGAATCCCAGGTAAAGATACATGGATGGGGCTGCAGTGCGGGGGTGGAAGGTTGCCACAGGGAAAGGCCTGGGAGGGCCAGCAAAGGCTGCAGGTGGGCAGAGAGGTTACCCTGATGGGAGAAAAAGCAGAAATGATTTACTTGAGTGACTTGTAACTTTCCCTGCCAAATTCCCTATTTGACTTTGTTTATGAGAAGCTGGCACGGAAGGTTGCAAATGGCGATCAAGTGACCTTGGTGTTATATTTGTGAGTTGGACATCTGAGTACCCAGATTAAAATATGTTATTTTAAAATTTAAAATGAAATATGGCTATTTCTGCTGACTTCCAGCAGTTCAATTCTCACTGGCTCAAGGTTGACTCAGCTTTCTATCTTTCCAAGGTTGGTAAAATTAGGACCCAGATTGCTGGGGGCAATATGCTGACTCTGTAAACCATTTAGAGAGGGCTGTAAAGCACTATGAAGTGATATATAAATTTAATTGTTATTGCTATATCCATGTTTTTCAACATTGCTGTCACTTTGAACAGCCACTGAACAAATGGACATAAGCTGAGGACTAGTTGAACTATTAACCACAGTCTTTTCTGGAGAGCTTGAATGAACTTCAGTTCAGTTGTGCTGCTCTGAGTTCTACCAGAAGGTGATACCAAGAAAGACCTATTCTATAGAAGATTGCAATGTAAGGTGAGGTAGAGGAAGGGAGAAACCATTTTATTTACAGATGCCAAAGGATGTATCTGCAATTAAAAATAAATTTAGCCATTGAAAACTGAAACAAAATAGAAAAAAATGTGGAACTCACAGTAGGCATAATTTTGCTGGTGTTATTTCTGATATAAAGGTCATATGAGGGATGAAAAATGTTTTCTTTCCTTCTCTAGGGTCTGTTAAAAGTTGAGAGGTACAAACAAAGTCCAAAAAATCCTAGAATTCAATATTAATATTTTGATTTTAATCAATATTATCTCAAATAATAATATCTGCATTTGTATTGCTTTTTTTTCAAATGCATTTTATAAAAATTTCTACACAGGTTTACACATTTTATTGTTTATTGTTCCTTTGCTTACCTCTTTTTCATCATCTTCTGATATTTTGGCTAGATAGTCATCCAATTCAGAATTATATGTTTGCCTTGAATATGAAAAATATATGAAAAATAAACAATAAACATTCAGGAGTACACAGTTAACAGTGAGGTCCAAGTTATACATTACTTTCTCCCTTCATTTTTAGTAAGGAAGGAGAATACAATTAACAATGGAAAAGTGGGAATAGTCTTCAATGTCCTTCATATCCATTGTAAAAAACTGCAGCTTCTAATTATGATTTTGCATTTAAAAATGCCAGCTATCGAAAGACACACCCAACATAGTCCAAGGTAAAATATAAACTTGATTAATTATTTAATACTATCACTAAATTATAGTCTGGGAAGCAGCAGTGTATGATTAACATATTGCTGTAGTCACCCCAGGCTGTAAAGGATTTTAAGGCCACAAGGTTATGGCATTTGGTGATAGCACATAGCCTAGCCGCTTCTATAAAATTCTGTGTGCCACATCATATTCTAGCAATAAACAACTGCATTTTCCAGTAATGTTTCAGAGCCCCCAAATTCAAATCAGCATGGCCTGTTCATAAGTATAATTTAATGCAAAATGAAGAAACCTGAATTCTCCACCTTCTCCAATTTATCATTCAGTGGTATTTTTAATTTTTAGTATTTTACTTGACCTTTTCCCTCCCCTGTGAGATTGAGTAGTCCAAAGCAACCCAATTATTTGGACAATTAGTTGGACTCTCCCTAATCCTTGTCCATCATCTTAAATAGCACCCCTTTGGCTCTATCAGTTCTCTCAATCTTCTACTGTGTATCTGGGAAGGGCACTTAAAACTCAGGAGCATTTGGTTAAAAGTGGTTTCCTATTCCATCTAAATCAACATACTACAATTAGCATTAATTATGGCTTATAAAATTAAATTATGAAATAAGCCATACATTTAGACTAAACCATAATATTCAGAAACACCTTCAATATTCAGCTATTATGTGAATAAAAATTAGCAGCCATTTATAGTCCGTTTCTATTGAGCTTTCCAGAGATTTCTCTTCATATCAGGCCAAATGCAGATTTTATGTCTTCTAGGCTTCTTGTTAATTTAAAGATACATATTTTTTCCAAGATAATTGACTATTGCTTGGACATTGCCATGATATTATTTTTTATAGAGAATTAATACACAAATTCTAATTGCATTTTGATTGCCTTATACACTTAACTTTGAAATTGAATCTTTATAGTTGTACTGGTAAAGCCTTGTTGTCTGCGTAAAATCTTCATCTGTTTCCACATTTTCAGCATATTTTGTATTAAAGAATAATCTCGTTGTTGTTCCTTGTCATATAATATTTTAGTATTTCTTTTTTAGAATGAATATAGGGAAGAAAAAAAATGACAAAATTACAGTGAGAATTCTACTTTTTAAAGGCACGATAAAAACTAAACATAAATTTCTCTGTTTGGAATGCAAATACACCAAAAACCTTTTCTTATAAACTTATACAAAGTACAGGTAGTCCTCAATTTATGATCACAATTGATCCCAAAATGTATGTTGTTAAGTGAGAATTTGTTAAGTGAGTTTTTCTCCATTTTATGACATTTCTTGCCATAGTTGTTAAGTGAATCACTACAGTTGATAAGTTAGTAACCTGCTTGTTAAGTGAATCTGCCTCCCCCACTGAATTTTCTTATCAGAAAGTCGCAAAAGATGATCACATGACCCCGGGACACAGCAATGGTCACAAATATGAATCAGTTGCCATGCTTCTGAATTTTGATCACATGATCCTGAGAATGCTAGAAAGGTTGTAATTGTGAAAAATGGTCCTAAGTCACTTTCTTCAGTGCCGTTGTAATGTTGAACGGTCACTAAGTAACTGTTGTAAGTCGAGGACTACCTGTATAAGTGTCTTCTTCTGAAAAGGGAGATACATCACAAAAAATAAAAGATTATCTGAGACATTTAAAAAATCACTATTGTTTAATGAAGATCTTGAATTTCCATCACACTTAAATTTTCAACATTTGAATACAGATCATGAGATTTATTTAATATTAAAATTAATATTAATGAGACTTCCAGGAAAGTAATGGTGGACTGAAGGTGATGGCAATGGAATGACGAGCTGGCAAAAGGATCAGTGCCTCAAAATTCCCCTTTGGATAAAAGGGAAGACCTGAGATAGAAGCAATCCATATGGAGCTTCCTCATGAGGAAAGAGTAAAATAGTGTTCTTCAGTGGTTTATAGAGCTCTGGGAGCTGAGGGAAGGGAAGATCAGCTTTGCCCAAGCCAGGGTTCAAAAAAATTTTTTGTTTAAATAAACAGCAAAAGAAGGATTAGAATGTTGATTATGGAAAGCTAGAAACAGACTAAGGGGATAGATGAATTGGAAATAAGATTTTGAAATTAATTATAAGAATCCTTCCTGTGGCCTGTTTAAAATCCTATTAAAATATATGAAGAATTTGAATCTAAGTAAAAGAAGTCTTCCCACGAAAAATTTGAATCAGAAAAAAGCATTTGAGGATACTTTGAAGACTGCATACTAGAGGCAACCAGAAGAAAAAGTTGTTTTTAACCATTTAGTCGTGTCTATGGTGACTTTATAGTCTAGCACACTCCATGCTACTGTCAAGCACAGCTTCTTTCAATTGTGTTCAACTTTGCATCAGATTTATTATCAAGTCAGCATGTTCTTTGCTTGCCCCTTCTTCTTTGTCCACTTCTTTGTCCCCTTCTCCAATGAATTTGCACACACAACATGGCCAGAGTAAATCAGACAGTCTTATGATTTTAGCTTCTAGTGATGTGCTTGGTTTTATACGATTTAACACCTCTCTATAGTTACTGTGGCTGTCTATAGCATATACAGTAATTTACCTAGCACCATAGTTCAAAGGTGTCAATTCTTCTTTGATCTTCTATTCTTAGTGCCCAACTGTCACACCTATACATTGTAGGGAAGATTATTGTCTAACTAGCCTGCTTTTTGCAGGGTTTTACTAATGGGATAAAATTAATTAACCATTGCAGTGCAACTTAAGGTTATTCTGTGTTTAATTTCAAGACTAGAACTGCTGTTGTAAACAATTTTGGATCCAAGGAAGATAAATTCTTAAACAAACTTCCTCCTTGTTTTTAAATGTCTCATGACATCTGCAGTTGTTGTCATTATCTTTGTTTTCCTGATATTAAGACTTAGTCCTACTTTTTCACTTTTGTCCTTGATTTTCCAGATCATTTTTCCAGATCTTCCTTATTTTCAGCCAATAGTGTATGATTATCTGTGTACCTCAAATTATTTATGGTTCTTCCTCCAATCTTCACCACAACGTCAGGCAGTTCCAGTTCTAATTTTCGTATAATCATTTCAGCATACAGATAGAACAAAAAAGCAGAGAAAATACATTCCTGTCTAACTTCCTTACTGATCCTGAACAAGTCTGTGTCACCATAAAGTGTTCTCACTGTTGCCTCCTGATCAGTGTAGAGCAGGGGTGTCAAACTCAGAGCCCACAAGCTGAATGCGTCACATGCTGGCCACGCCCACATCCAATTTAATTAAGGGAAAAAAGTTGTGATACGTCATGTGACACAGCTGTGATGACGCGAGTTTGATGCTCCTGGTGTAGAGTGACCTGATGAATCTGATCAGGTGGGCTGGGACACTAAGATCATGCAAAACTGCCCATAGCTTATTGTGTTCTATAGTCAAAAGCTTTTCTGTAGTTGATAAAACACATATACATATTTTTTTGATATTCACATGCCTTTTCCATAATCCATCTAACATTGGCAATGTGATCTCCAGAGCTATTCCCCTTTCTACATCAGATAACTCTTAATTGATGACATTCTGTAGTCTTTGTTTAATGATCTTTAACAAAATCTTGCTTGCATGAGAAATCAATGAAATCATGCAACAGTTGGAGCAGTCTCTGTCAACATACTAACACAGAATGGAGAAAGGTATTTTAATTTGTGAGAAAATTCAGGGACATTTGGGAACAACCCACTCATAAATTTCTTTTGAAATTGTCTGCAACTATAAAAATAGTTTTAAAAGAGGAGACAAAACCGGATACAATTGAGAATAAGGCTTTCAATTCCACAAGAATTGAAAAGCTGTTTGGGGTTTGGATTTAAAAATGACAAGTTACAAGAATGATATGGAAAAAGATGTTACACTGGATTTACAAATAAAACCAGCTGTTTTATCATCAAAACAAGAGACAGCATATCCAGATCTGGATTGTGGGAAGAGGAAGAGATTTAGGATAACTACTCCCTAGAGTCTCCCAGGGTTTAGGGTAGGGTAATATAGGATTAGTCTGGCAAGATTCTGTCCATATGGTATAAGGAAATAAAGAATTGTGCTATGATGTTCTTGGGCTAGGCCTGACAACAGTATTGAATAAGGATTTAATCTAACTTTTCATGTCTATCATTAATGCTATAGGCTAGCTTGAAAATAGATTTCTCATGTCACATCTGATTGGACCTGTAATTCTAGCAGTTTATTAATTGTAAGGCAGAAAAGGAGTAAAATAATTAGAGAAAAATTCTAATATTTATAACTATCTTGCAAAAGAACATGTCTAATGTTTCTCAATCATCACAAATAGACTTGATAAAAGATTCTCATTTATACTGTATTTATACTGTATAAATTTATACTGTATTTATACTGTATAAGTTTATACTGTATTTATACTGTATTTATACTGTATTTATACTGTATGCAAATGACAAATGTAAAACAATGATTTTCTTCTTGGAATAGGAAATTCCTTCCTGGGAACCTGTTATTATAGTCTAACAGTTGCTTTCATTTCTTGAAATCGCTACTCTTTTGAGCAGCTACAGTAGAACCTCTGGTCACGAACGCTTCTGATCACAACCAAATCGGGTTCCGACCAAAAAATTCACAAAAGTTTTGAATCTGGTCGTGAACACATACTCAAGTGGCAATCAAATCAAATTTTCCCTTCCGTGCCGATTTCCCCTTCCAGGCCATTTTTTTTGTAAATGCATGCGCAACCAAATTGGGTTGCGATCGAAGTTATAGAACTAATTATGGTCATGACCAGAGGTTCTACTGTACATGCTCTCTTTAGGAATTTTGCAGACTTTTATTATGCAATACAGTTTCTCTCAGGAATTAAAATAACAGCATGGGAGGAAGAGAGAAAATGCAATCCAAGTAATAAGTCAGCATTAGGGGAAAATGTTAAATCACTTTCATTGATATAAATACTTGTTTAGTGACTGCATCATTTAGCAATCATTCATAGTTACAGGCATGATGAAAAAATAAATTGCAACTGATTCTCTCATTTACGACCTTTGCAGGTCTGTAAAGCAAAGGAAAGCTGAAGTACAATCGTAAAACCTTGATGTTTCACATAGCAACCACTTTGCTTAACAATAAAGTTGCCAGTCCCAATTGTGGTCACTAAACAAGGACTAACTGTACTGTGTTCCGTTATCTCCTTTCACCTCCATGTACTGATTTGACCTTTTGATGACCAGCCCACTTTTAATGAGAAAAACAATCAGCAGCCCTTAAATTGGTTGTTTTTCCTTTTACTAACCTGTGATTTCAGATATGTCCTTACCATATTCTTCAATGCCTCTAACAATAGCAGAGCTTCTAATGCAATCAAAACATTCTTAAAAATTCAGAGAAATATTCAGAGATATGTCTGCATTGAAAGTAGCTTATACTGAACTGTATACCACAGTCAAATATCAGGAATTCACCACAGGGAATGTTTTATATTTTGTGTTATGTGATAAAATGCTTTATGATGTGGAGCACAGTGGCTCACATATTAGAACGCTAGTCTAATATGTGGCAGGCTTGCGTTCGAGACCCTATTGCTGCTGCCCATCACTTGCTTCAACTCCTCTCAACTCAGCAGTTCTAAAGCAGTGACCACAAGTAGATAGATGGATACCACTGTTAAGCAGGGGACCACGTGTGGCTTGGCACAATCAAAGTTCTCTCTCTAAATAACACATTTATTCAGTGATGGTGGGTCCTCCCATAAGATGAAGAACCCCACATGCATTTTGAAGCAAGCATATATAGGTGTCTTAGTTTCACTTAGTTACCTAATAGGAACACAGCTCATAGAAGATAAGGTACAGAAGTTACAAAAATACTTGTGCACGCATCCTGTGGTTATGATCATACGTTCAGCTGTAAATTTGTGGTTTCTTTATTAAAGTTTCCAAAGCCCCAAAGATCTATCAAGGCCTGAATTTTATTTCTGTCATTTCAACATAAGAATCTTTAGATTAATCTTCAGAATTACCAGAATCCTGATCAACACTTCGACGGGCAATTTAATGGGGACATGAAAGGAGCTCCCAACTGGCTGTCCCCCGGGCAATGGTGATATCACCGGTTTATTCTTTCACCACATAAGTGATTCGGTGCTTCTTATATGGGAAAAATGCTTTATAATGATTTTTATGTCATAAAAAGTTTTATAAAATTTTTCAACTTTCAATTCCACAAGAGTCATAGGCTGTGAATTTTAGATATATTCTGTAAGTTAGCCCATTTGAGGTGCCTTTGTTGAAAATGTTTTACCCTATTGTTTTGCCCATTAAAGATTACAGACATAAGAGTTTTTAATAGTAAATATATTTCAGGCACTGCAGAAATAACAATAAAGCAAATAAAATAAATAATCCCATTAACAACAACAATAATAACAAAATGACATATCTGCAGCATATTTGAAATGTTCCAGGATAACAAGATACCTTATTTGTGATCTGTAATCCTTTACAATGTTTGTACTCAACTGGCCTGTTTTTAAATTTGTTTCAGCTAGTTTTGTTGCACTTATTAAGGCTTTTAGCTATAATAAAAATAATTTATAATTAGTTAATCATTATTAGTGAATTATCATTAACAAGTAGAAAAAGCAGTTTGTAAAACCTATGCATATATTTATATTGGAAAATGTCTACATTTTGCAGCCATGATGTAATAACACAAAATAAAAAGAATAGTCATAGACATTCTGCATAATTCCAGCAGAAATATTTGTTTCATAAAAAATAAATAATCCTCAAACTTCAGTGTACAACAACTAAGTAATTTGGCTTCATTCAGCTAGCTATTAAAGAACTTTGCAGTAGACATAATTGGTCTCTATAGAATCTTTTTTTATGTTCTGGAGATTCAATTTTAGGAAACCAAACGAATTATGGCCATAAATAGCTCTCCATATGATAAATGGAATTTGTCATCACAATATTTTAAAAGAGATATCTATTATCCAGTGTAAATATTTCTATTATCATAAATTGACTACAGTTTTATAGGTCCTATTACAGGCAGTCCTTAACTTACAATTGTAATTGAATGTCCAATTTCAGCTGTAAACTGTAACAGTCATAAAGCAAATCACCACATGACTTCATCCGATTTTAGCTTTTTTGCGGCAGTTGTTAAGTGAATGTGCAGTCATATCAAATGCCGTGGTTTTTAAATGAATGCTGCAGTTGCTAAGGGAATCCATTGTTCGCTGGGGGGGGGGGTGTTATCAGAAACCAGAAGTAAACACTGGTTTCCAGTGAAACAACATTGTAACAACATCACCAAAAAGGCATTAAGGGTTGTAATCTTGCGTAGCTTCTTCTCCGGTAATATTACACTACTAACCAGAGCATACAAAACATTTGCTAGACAATTCTCGAATACAGCTCATCTGTCTGAAACCCGCACTGCATATCAGACATTAAAACAATTGAACGTGTCCAGAAATATTTCACAAGAAGAGTTCTCCACTCCTCCACTCGCAACAAAATACCTTATGCCACCAGACTTGAAATTTTGGGCTTAGAAAATTTAGAACTATGCCGCCTTCGGTATGACCTAAGCATAGCTCATAAAATCATCTGCTCAATGTCCTACCTGTCAATGACTACTTCAGCTTCTACCACAATACATGAGAACACAATAAATACAAACTTAAAGTGAACCGCTCCAAACTCGATTGCAGAAAATATGACTTTAGCAAAGAGTGGTCAATGTCTGGAATGCACTACCTGACTTTGTGGTTTCAGCCCAAAACCCTCAAAATTTTAACCTTAGACTGGCTACTGTTGACCTTACCCCATTCCTAAGAGATCTGTATGCGGCATGCATAAGAGCACCAGCATGCCTACCGTCCCTGTCCTAATGTTTCCTTTAATTGTATTCATTTTATGTATTCAATTCATGCTTATACTTATATATTGTATATTACCTAATACGTATTCGACAAATAAATAAAAATAAATATTGTGACTGCAGAATGTTACAAAGGGCTGTAAATGCGGGCTGGTTCCCAAGTGCCCAAAATAAATATATAGCATGAATGCAATTAATGCATTCAATTCAATTTTTAAAAAACAAAAACAGTTCAAAGGTTGGCAGGGAGAGGGACAATTCCCCATATATTACTAGGAAATATATTTTAGACTATTCTGAATGTTAATTTGACATGTTAATAATAAATTTATTGCCTCATCTATGTTGTAATAATGTAAGCAATATAGAAATAGAGCCCTAATCAAGTCAAAGTTTCAAAATGAATATGTACAGATATTATGACAATATATATTAAAGTTAGGGATATCTCTAGTTTTCAAATTGAGACAATCTGAAGTCATTTAAACAACATCCTTTCAAACATCATTATAACTAAAATATAACAAAAGTATTTTCTTACTTTTTCAGAAAGCAAGTTAGTAACATTTTGCTCTTGTCTTTTCTGAAAACATTCATAAACATCAAGCAACTTAACAGCCAACACTTGCTCACAGTTAAAAAGATAATGATGACTGAAGACAATACTTGATATGTTAAGATCTAGTTGATACATTTTACAGTCTTCAAACTTGGTACAATTTTCCAACTCTGGTTGTGTGGCCTATTTTGGGGGGTGAAAAACACAAAATTTTCTCTTAAAGAAAGAAATTTTGAACAACAATACAGACTGTACTTCTATGTATGCACATTTTTATAGCAGGCTCTGTAAATGAATCCAAAGTGAGAAAAACCTGTTTGGCCTGATAGATAAAAACTGTTTATGAATCAACATAGAAAATTATGTTTTTCTCACACGATTTCAGTTTTAAGAATTAATTCAACCTTAGCTATTAGATATGAGACTGGGCCAAATACTAGTTTTTTTGTATAAATAAACAGCAATGGATATGATAGGGTACATTTATGTCACCTAAAACATTTGATACAAAAACCCAAAGCTGAAACGCCTGAACAGGCAGCCAGACTTTAAAAACCAATTCAAAATGAGCAGAGTTATCTTAGATGTTTGCAGCTTGCTCATTCATGTCTCCTTCAAAGCAAATGGAAAGTGATGAAGCAATTATATCATAGCATCTCCACCTATCTTATGAAATTCCAAATGCTATGCAGCCCTTGCATGAATAACAACCCTCCACAAATTTTTATTTAATTATGGTGAAAAAACATATTGTCAGTGTAGGTATGTAACACTTCTAGCAATGCAAATGTAATGTTATCCAATGAAATATCCCTTTGTGAAGTAGTATGAAAGAATAAAAACAAACCTTTCTGTATATTGTCTTTAATTCTGCGACAATCTTAACAGGGAAAGACATTATGTGATGGCTTGATTGCTTGATTGGAGAAGGTAATGATATTATTTCCCCACTTTCTTCAAACCAGCTTTTTGCCTTGATGATTCAAAAGCATAAAGAAAATCAAGCAAACCAATGAACATAAATTTTTAAGAAACAAATTGTTTGGAAAGTAGTTCTTTAAAAAAAACAAAATTGTTATATTTACCCCTTCTTGCTGAAGGCGATTCTCCATTTTGTGGTACATCTTCCTAGGAATATAAGGCTTTCTTGGAATGTAAAATCCTTCCTCTTCTAGGAGTCGTGGCAACATATTGCTTGGTAGCTTACAGCTATGTATAACTGAGAATAATCAAGATGACTTCAAGAATGATGTATACTTATTTAGAGATTGCAATGCTAATTAATTTTCTTCCTTTTACTGGTTACATACTGAGAAAACAGGTATAAATGATTTGTGGAATATTTATAATAGCAGCCATATTAATCTGCTACAGATGATACTCATAATAAAGTGAATTGTCAGTAAAAATTTACTTTCTCCAACTTTTGCTCTTCTAAGCTTCTTACTGCTCTCATATAGTTATGGAAAGATTAAGGAAATCTGAAATGTCATAACACAGAGACAATTGTGTACAACAATTGTGTACAACGATATTGTACCTACCAGTTAAAGCATTTCCTTATCTTGTCTCTTAAAGGCTAGACTGAATATGCTACCAAGATTTATCAGAAGTATCATTTTTGATATTTACCCACTTGTTTTTTTAAAAAAAATATTCTTAAAAAAAGGATGTTTTCCTCTTGACTCATAGAATGGAAACAAAAAATAACTACAGAAGCCTCATCCCAGCTCCAGCTCAAAGGAGTCATGCACAATGTTCTTAAAACTTTCTTTTGGTGCTCGTTTGCTGTTCTCTTGTCCTTTCAGGCCTAGTCAGAACAGATTCATCAAATTTTTAATACAACGTCAGCCACTGAATTCAATTTTTTAATAAAAAATCTGGCACTGCATTCATATTTCTTCTTTGGAAAAATTGGCAGTGATCTGCAGGTCATTACTTTAAAATACATTTTACTTTTTACTATACTATTTTTTCATATTTTTAAAACAAAAATAAAGACCTAGGAAAAATGGGGAAAATACCAAAATGGTTGGAAAACTAGAGCAACTCTTCTATAAAGAAAACATATATTATGAAGAACACAAGGCAGTCACAGCTAGAATTGCCTTTGCACAGCTTCAGGTTGTGCACTTGTGAGTTTTCCTGGATCAGGAGTTCCTGAGCTCAGTCATTCAAGCCCTGGTTGTCTTACAACCAGAGTACTGCAATGAGCTCTACATGGGGCTATCCTTGAAGACCATTCAGAAGCTATAACTGGTGCAGAATGTAGCAGCACGGGCAGCCAGTCGGCCTCTGGGTACAATTCAAGGAGCTGGTTATTATCTATAAAGCCCTGCATGGCATAAGTCCAGATTACTTAAGTAGGCATGCTGGGCATCCCATCAATCAAGGAATTTTGGTCGGCAGAGTCCAGGAGAAGTCTTCTCTGTCATGGCTCATGCCCTTTGGAACATCTTTGGAACACCTTACCCCCTGAACTGGCTTTGCCAATTGGCTTGGGGTCCCAATGAGGAAGTGCCATGCTAAAGGTGATTAATAGACAAATACCAGATCCCACTTCACCCCCTGCACACTTTGTTTCCTCATTCCATTATGAGATGATGTAAAATGATATCTGATGAATATTTGTGGTGTTATCCCACAGTATTATAACCCAGGATCATACTATGCAAAAAAGTTAATATGAAGAAATGATTGCAAGAGCTAGATGGCACAAGTATTCTTTCCAGTGACAATGCTATTAAAGATAGGAGGGAAGAATCATTAAAATGGACTATTCTTTTCATGGGAGCCACATTGGGGGGTAAGAAATTAAGGAAATAACTGGTCCTGTGTTTTTGTCTTCATGTATAGGATATATCCATATAGAAGTTTACCATGGTTCCTTGATAAATAAGAAATTGCTATAATGTCATTGGTGCAGTTTTGCATTCCTTGAGGTGCAGCCTTGAACGTAGAAATAAGGCAAAGGAATTACATTAAATCCATCATGATGGATCATCAAGAGCTTTATGCCAACTATGCCTATAATCTATCTGGTTTTCATTCATGGTTTGAAGAGGGCAGGATAATGTTGATATGCCATGTTTTGCTACCAAGCTGCTCCTTCCTAAGTTGCTAGAGATGACCACTAATACAGCACTGCGATTCTTCTGCCTATTCATAGTGAATGGTTTCAGTGATCATAATAAGCCAGAGTATTCCACAACTCATACCTCCATGAAAATTTGGACCTGAATTGGGGACTCAACTTTGGCATATTCTTAAGAATCACTGTATTTAACATTATTCTCGCCTCCTTCTACATGAAGGCATTTTACACAAGCAAAGTATATAGATTTTTATGGAGGGAGAGCACTTTTTTGACATGGTGCCATTGTGCCATTTTTTGCAGCATAAAAATCTTCCCTGGCATTTACAAACAGTTTTATGGTGAATTTTACATCAGTATAGATAGGTTTAGCGAAAATGAAAACTACATTAAATTCTGCACCTGATAATAGTTCTGTCCTGAATCAGCAGACAGACATAATATTTATATTTATGTCTATAAAATCAGTATCAAAGTTATACTATCTTTAGAAACTTATATCACCTGGTGATGTGCTTGGAATAAAGAGTTGGTTCCATCCCTTTTCCTTGTCTACTTTATTGAAATTACAGGCAGGTGATTTTACTTCAACTAATTCTGTCAACATTTCTTTCACATGGACAAGCAGTGGAGTTTGCTCATTTAAGCTACAGATGTTTTGAAGGCAGCCATCTGTTGATTTCTATTGTTTATCATGAAGAAAAACAATGTGAAATAATACATTCAGGTATAATTTATTAAAAACTAAAATGAAACCATATTTCAACTGAATTCTTTAAAGTGATACAGGTAATTCCTAGAAAATAATCAATATGTTCATAAATGAAATCCAGTCTGAATGAAAAACAATGATATCCATTGTTTTCAATTTCCATGTATCTTCAAAGTTTGGCTGGAAAATTTTTTAATCATTTGGAGTAGATGTTGAGAGCAAACAGAATTCCAGTAGGACAATACTGGATTCTACTTATGTACACAGTAAATAGAGGGATATCTTTATTAGAAACACAAAAAGGTGTCAAAAGAGCCACATTGTTACTCCTCAAAAGACGGGTAGTAGAAAGGCTATAAATATAAATATTTTAAATATACAAACTTGATAATTTGGTTTTTGATTTTTTAATAGTATTAAAAAAATTTAATAGTATTTCCTAATTGAAATAATTTAAGATAATTATTTATTTGATAATTACTGTTATTATATCATTTAACTTTACAAATTTCATCAGATATGCATCAATGACCCACCTTTAGGACAGAAATAAACTATTTCTCAGTGTTCATAAGTTTTTTAAATGTAATTCTTCAATACTTCAAATTTTGTAACTCATTTAAAATAACTTCTTTAACAATTCAATAACATTAAACTAATGATGCAATCCTATATACATTGAACAGGGAGCACACTAAGGATGTAAAAATGTTTTGGACTGAAACAATCTGGCTCTGGAACATTCTATTTTTTGCTTTGAACAGGCTAATGTGTACATTGTGGAATTACTTTATGAATTTCTATAAGTTGATTATTTGAAATCAAAGTGGTCCAAGTATTAGACACAGAAACACACTTCAAGTAGTATATAGCATTTTTTTTACAACAGCTTCCAACTTCTGCAAGGGGCTATTTAGATCCTATCTAAAGAATACTCATAGTTCAATATAATTTATTAGTTCTCATTAGGAGCCAGTAAGAGGATGAAAATGATACACGCTTGCTGCACTGAACAGTTAAAGCCAATAGTTGTTATTTGTTCCATTTTTTAAAATTATTTTGAGAAATACAATGCAGCAATTTTTAAAAAGGCTGAAAAAAAGGCAAGCTGTAAAAACCTTATAACTTCAAATCCAATTGCAAATACACTGTTTTTATGCATAAATACATAATATAGTATAATTACACATAAGTACATATTACTTCCATGATTATATTGAAAGATTTCCAAGAAACATACAAAAGCATAATATATTTTTGAAAACTTCATCATATGAGCAAAAAGAAAAAATAAAAGAATATTTACTTGATGTGCGTATACATTCTGAGACATTAAAATAACATTTCAATATTGTTTATTTCATTAAAAACAGTAATGAAATATACAGCACTATGATGCCGAGTTGGCGCAGTGGTTGGAGTGCAGTACTGCAGGATACTTCATTGACTGCTAGCTGCAGTTCGGCAGTTCAAATCTCACCGGCTCAAGGTTGACTCAGCCTTCCATCCTTCCATCCTCAGCCTTCCATCCTTCCTTTCCAGTGGGTAAAATGAGGACCCAGATTGTTGGAGGCAATAGGCTGACTCTAAACCATGTATAGAGGGCTGTAAAAGCACTATGAAGTGGTATAAGTCTAAGTGCTATTGCTATTGCTTAGAAAGAACTACAAGCCACTCAAATAAAAGAAGAAAAAGACAATTAATATGTAAAGAATAATAATACCTGCTCAAAATTTGTATCAAGTTCTTTCATATTGGAGTGGTCTTCAAAAGTTGATGTAAAAAATTCAAAACCTTCATCTAAGGGTACTTCATTCTAAGAGTGATAAAAGAACAGCTGAATAACTGTTGATAGATTGTACCAGCCATACAGCAACCTTTTATTTTCTTCTAAACGATATTTTCCTTTATTTGTACTCATATTCTTTTAAAGTAACAATTACCACTCAAATATTATGCTATTTTACAATAGCAACCACTCACTCCTAAGTGAAATATTGTTATGTTTCAAAGATGCGTAGGTTACCCCTTAACTAAAACTACGGTGTTTTTCGGAGTATATGACGCACCAGAGTATAAGACGTTTTTGGGGAGGAAAATAGGGGGGAAAAATCTGCCTACCAGTTATTCATCTGACTAGCGTACTTAGTCTGGTCAGCTTCAGCACATTAGTTTGCTGGTTTTTATCCCCTGCTTGGAGATAAAAAACAGTTTCTAAAGCACAACTGATCTTTAGAGAGAGAAGCAATGAGAAAAGCAGGCAAACCACGGACATAACTTCACTCGCTAGCGCCTCGTTTGGGCTGAAAAAAAGCTTCACAGCTGAGAGTTGGAGGAAGCAGGTAAAGCATAGATTGCTTTACTCACTAGCGCCTCATTAGGGCTGAAAAAAAGCTTCGAAAAAGCTACATTCGGAGTATAAGATGCACCCAAATTTTCAGCTACTTTTAGGAGGGGAAAAAAGTGTGTCTTATACTTCGAAAAATACGGTATGTAACTTGTTCACATACATTAATAGATTAAAAATTAAGAAAGGATAATTTTTCTATTTATGTAAGTATGGCCTGAATTACAGTTCTACAAAACTGTGCCTTTCTCATTATTAATATCCTGAAACTGAATCAAACAATAGTTTATTACTCTCAGGAATCTTTTTTACAAAAGTTTTGTTACCTCAGCATTTATTTCTTGATTGTTTTGAAATCCTGCGGCAGAATTTTGTTTGTGAGAAAAATCTTTTTCCTGCGCAGCCTAAAATAAATATTATGCTGTATTTAGTACTTTTAACATACACATTAACTACAAAAAGCACATACAAATTACATATCACATAACCACTTTTTTCTGGGATACGTCAAGTGATGTTGAAGGTGAATCTTTTACATTAGGTTATCTTTTTTTTCTTTCATAGAAACATAAATCAATATTCTGTATTTTTTTCATTTAGTTAAAAACCAATTAAAACTATCACCTTGACAGTTTTCAGCTTTTCTTTTACTCTGTCCCGTAATGCTTCAGTTAATGTATCTTGTTGTTCTACTTCAGCCACAACTAGAATCAAGAAAGCATATATTTTTAGAATGGAGTTTGTGACAGAATTCTTTCACTGTCCCTGTAATATATACTGTAGATCATATTGCTAACAGTAAAATATTTAACTATAATTTTTCAAGCTGTTAAATGGTTGTGTTCTGCATATGGACCACATACAGAGACATACACTTAGCAAAATTCCAAATGAATGTATATTTAATAGGATTGTGCTCTGATTCAGCCTTCAACCTGACATGGGAGTCTCTGGCAGCCTTGTCTCTGATTCAAAATCGTCATGGAGTTCTACTTCTAATATTCATGAGATCATGAGTTCCTGAGAACTCATTTCTTTTCCAATGCTGGAAAAGAGAGGATGCTGTGTTTTGTACCCAAAAATAGGGCAAGGTTTTTAAATAGTAATTTCTGACACTTATCTATATTGGTGGGGAAGAAAGGGAATATTGAGATTCAGGGATCAACCAGCATATCTACAAATCAAATCTATAATATAACAACCCAATTCAGTTTTGGGACAAGTAGTACTTTGAGTGGGATACAGATCTAAATAATTGTCTGTAACTGCTTCTGCTGCAATTACACTTCATTAGTGTTTGCATCACTATACTGTGTTAGGCAGTGTTGCCCAATAATGAGTTTTAGTTCTATTCAGTTGCCTTCTGTCTTTCAAGAATCATTTAGAAGCCATTGTGCCGGAGCTACTAAAGGGAGACAAAGCAGAGGTGGAAGCAGTGAGGGGAAAAAATATCTGTGGCTAATCATGGAAAAGAGCCACATTTCCTGCCCCTAAAATTAAATAACAAGTATTTGGCACTGTTATCTTGCATCCAAAGAGTGCAAAATTCTAGAACATGCAAAGACGATAAAGTCTGACAGTAACAAAAGGAGCTATACCATTTCATTATCAATCAGACAGTACTTCCAAAGAATGTACAGTACAATTTCAGAACTCTTCCATCCATGGCAAGAATGCTTAGAATTAGCCAGTCACTCTTCACTTCTCCACAGTTTGAATTAAAGTTATTTAATTAAGGATTCCTCCATGACTGGATAATTTATATACAGTATTAAAGTATATTTTTCTGGGAAAATAAATCTATCAGCTTAATCAGTTAACCATTTTATTGTAAACTTTTTTTAAAAGATGGAGTAATACAGTGTGTAAGTGGAAAGTTTTATTTTTGCTTTACTTTCCCCTCAGTGAAATTTCTCAAGAGGAGCTCTCTCACATATGCAAATTTGAAAAAAGGAGGTTAACAACATGTTCAAAGGCCCTAGTAATCTAGGTTAAGAATGGAAAAGCACAGCCATAAACCACATTAACTCTGCATTAATTCTGCAGCTGACAATGTCTCTTAAGTTTTTAGAGAATTGGAATGAGATTAGGTCTTTGATGATCATTCTTCAAAAGCTATGCTTCTGTTCATAAATTCTCTAGAAGGCTGGATTACTGGCCAAGATGCAATCATACTGATTAATTACGGTACAACAAATTAAACAATTCACAAAAAAGTTTTCACATAAAAGTATATAGAAAGAAAAAAAGACTACAGAATCAAAAAGTAATTTTCTAAAAGTGCAAAAGTATTGCATAATTTCTTAAAATAGTTACTACTACTTTCCAATAGGAGGTCGAGAAGAAAAAGGGCAGGCTCATGACTCCTATGTGGAAAAGATGAGAAAGCGGGGGGAGGACATCTGTAGACATACATGGGTTGGGGAAGTAGGAATCGCTTAGATCATTGGTGTCAAACTCACTGTGTCACATTGATGTCATGTGATATATCGCGACATTTTTTGCCTTCGTGGAGCTGGGATGGGATATTGCCTGCGCATGATGCATCCGGCCCGCGGGCCACCCCTAACTTAGATGTTGCTTCATTACCCTCAACATATGCCCAAATTACCCCTTTGAGTATAGTTTAAAACCCCCACTTTAAGAATTGTTGTGCTAAGCAGTAAAGTTAGATAGAGCGGCAGCACTGAAAAAGCAGTGCCTTTTCAGTTTTATTTAACAAAAGTGCATTCACAACTAATTTTTGAAATTGTAGATCCAGGAATAACAAAATATTACAAATTACTTTAATGTTATAGTTAATGCTGAAATATTTCTACATCGTTAAGAGTTGACCACTGTACTGTGATATTTGAACATTTTCGTTTTTCAAAGTGCAGCTTTTTTCATTCTCATTTTCTCTAATAAAGTATTAAATTGAGAAGTCAAGACAGGATATCTTCCCAGGAATTTTTTTAATATTGAAAAGTATGCATAAAAGCATAAAATGAAATAAAGATCCTGTGAAATAATGATAAAATGAAATAATAAAACTTAATTTAAGCCACACTAAATGTTTCTAAATTTCATATCCACTCAAATAAAACATTAAATTACCTTTCTGTGGAGTTTGTTCTTGGGCTTCTATTTGTATTCTTTCATCATATAGATTATCTTCAATTTCCTAAATTGAATAAGAAAAATTGCTAATAAACTATAAGAACTACATTCCTGTATGACTGATTAATTGATTTAATAAATGTATATCCCATCTTTCCTCCAAGACAGGTATTTGCAAAGCATTTTATTTTCCAGGTTTTTCCATTTAATCCTCTTATTTTCCACAATTATAAACTGACCAGATTCAAAAATTATGAATGCAAAATGCAATTATTTTTGTCCATTTTCATTATACACTATGGTTACTTGTTTTATAGATCTCTGTCATGTCTCCTTTAATTTATGTATCTCATATTACAACTTTTCCTCAGCTTGAACATTTTGGTTGCTCTTTTTTGCCTCTTTTTTATAATACAGTTATCAAAGTTTAGCAACCCAAATTGTGCATTGTGGGGTTACACTGTGTATTTTTTTTTTAAAAGGCAGTTTTATTTTCTATTCCTTTAATTCCCAACATTTTTTCAACAATTGCCAAACAGGTCACTGACCTCAATTTCTATTACCTTTAACTTAAATTACATTTGCCATTTTAACAAGTAGTATTTAGTATTTTTATTTGATATACTCTTATACCTAAGTGCAGTACAAGCAGAAAACAATAGAAATCAGCAAGGTAGTATAACAAATATTTACCTTCTCAAATGTTATATTACTTTATAATTATTTACCTATGCTTTTTTATTTTTATCTTTCGGCGTAGATTATGGTCTCCTACAGATTGGCTATCTGCTAATTTAAGGTGACCAGACGTCCGGCTTTTGGCGGGACAGTCCCGCTTTTGAGCAATTCGTCCCGCGTCCCGCGGCATTTTAAAAAAGTCCCGATTTTTCATTCTGCCTCCTGAGTCCCGGCTGCCTCCTGAGTCCCAGCTGATGGCTAGAGGGAAAAAACCTGTTTAAACTCTTGCCGCGGGGCTTCAAAGGGCCGCCCTACGTTGATTAGCTCGGCTTCCCCCTCTCAGCTGATTTGCGCAGGGCTCTGCTCTTGCTAAATTGCTCAGCAGTTTTTTTTTTCTCTTTGTGCAAACCAAGCTCAAAACGAAACTGAAAGTAAAACAGGCTGTTGGCTTTGCTGTTTGCTTGCAACGTTGGAAAATTAGGCAGCAGATTTATTTTCCTTTTCCTCACCAAAAAAGGTAGGTGCAAACAATGGGAAATTATTTAGGGCAAAAGAAGAGAGTTCAAGATTTTAAAACACAAAAGAAAAAAAAGCTCTTTTTAACTAGGGAATTGTAATAATTGAGATACTATTAATTGTATACTGTGTTGAAAGCAGAAATGGTTAAGTTGTGGTTTGGAGGAATATATGGGGGAAATTATTTGGTTTATTATTATTGGTAAGTATAATTAATTGATTTGTAAGAAATTGGATTGCATGGAAATAATTGGAATATTCATGTTCATATTGATTAATATACAAAAAAGATAGTTATATAACTAATTGATTTATATTAAAATGTTGAATTTGTATTAAACAACTGTATTACATAATTACATAATTAACCAATGTGAGGATGGATATAAAAATAGATGACAATGGGAAGGGGTATAATATAGAATAGAAGGGAAAAATTGAATTTGATTAAGATTAGAGATGAGGATGAAGGGTAATATTGTTTTTTTAAAAAAATAGATGAGGAATAAATATGGCAAAAAGGAAATATAGAAATTGTAAATTTAATTGAAATGACTAAACACTGTTTAAATTTGTGAACCAGCCAAATATTCTGTTCAAAGAAAATACATTGTATGTTTGTATGTGTGTTTCTAATTATTGCTATTTATTCATATTTGTTCTCTTTTATTCTTTAAAGTTTAACAATTCATTCTTTATCTTAATTTGTTTGGGGTTGGCTTTCTTCCCTTTCATCTTTTTTATTGTACAGCAATCTTTCTCCTCAAACCTACCACCTCTCTTTTCTTTCCTTCTTACTTTCTCTTCCCCCCACCCTCTTCTTCTCCTCCCTATTTCCTCTTCCTTTCTCCTTCTCCTCCTCTCTTCCTCCCTCTCTTACCGTCACTCCTACTCTAATTTCCCTTCCCTTCCTTCATCCCTCTCTATTACTGTATCCTTTTATGCATATGGACTACTCAGAGGGCTGAAAAAGTTATTTTTGACTGGTCCTCACACTTTTGACCAGTCCTCGAACTTATGACTGTCCTCACATTTTACATTTTTGCCCTATCTTGTCATCATGGTGAAGAGAAGCAGTTGTGAAAATGAGTGACATGGTTGTTAAGAATGCTACACGGGCATAAATGTGAGGATGGTCATAAGTGTGAGGACCAGTCAAATGTGCGAGGACCTGTCAGAAATGACTTTTTTCAGCCCTCTGGTTAGTCCTTTTGTGCATATGGACTACTCAGAGGGCTGAAAAAGTTATTTTTGACTGGTCCTCGCACTTTTGACCAGTCCTCGAACTTACGACTGTCCTCACATTTTACATTTTTGCCCTATCTTGTCATCATGTGAAGAGAAGCAGTTGTGAAATGAGTGACATGGTTGTTAAGAATGCTGCACGGGCATAAATGTGAGGATGGTCATAAGTGTGAGGACCAGTCAAAAGTGTGAGGACCTGTCAGAAATGACTTTCCAGCCCTCTGAGTAGTCCCTATACACATAGCCATGGCCACCCGGTCACATGACCAGCTAGCACGCCCACCCAGTCACATGGCCTCCAAGCCACACCCACACAATAAGCCACGCCCACAATGGTGTCCCTCTTACCAATGTTAAAATCTGTTCACCTTACCCTATACACATAGCCATGGCCACCCGGTCACATGACCAGCTAGCCACACCCACCAGTCACATGACCAGCTAGCCACGCCCACAAAATAAGCCACGCCCACAATGTCCCTCTTTACCAATGTTAAAATCTGGTCACCTTATGCTAATTCCTAAATTAAGAAATGCCAGTCCCAATATGTATCTTATGGGAAATCTACACAGTTCCTCTAGCACACAGATGGCAAACTTGTGGTGTCATGTTGCCGTCATGTGACATTTTGTGACATTTTTCCCCTTTGCGGAGCTGGGGTGAGCGTGATACATGATGCATCTGGCCCTTGGGCTGCCAGTTTGATAACCCGGATCTAGCATTAAAGTAAACCATTGTTGTTCCTCCCTGCTCCGTTTTTAACTATTCTATACCTGGAAGAAACCTAAATATAACTTGTACTGCTTTTGTTGTTTTGTGATTAACTTCAGGGTACAAACTGTGTATATTTAATTTAATACTTTTTAAATCACCTTTTCTTTAGTTCAAAGCAGTTTATATGTGCATTTTTCATGAAAATATACAAATAAAAAATGACGTTGAACAGAAAAAGTTGTCAACATAGAGGCATTTTCTAAAAAGCAATTTCTGAAGAATGTCCAAAATTCTAAAGAATATACTATATTCTATTTTAATATGGACAAAAGTACCTGATTTCTAGTACTTCCTTTAGGTAAAGAATTTTTTTTCTTTGCAAGTCTTTCCTGAACTTTCTCTTTCTGAAAAAAGAAAGGAAATTGTTAAAAGCTTATCTGTAAGGATACAAAGCTACTTTTAAAAAAATAACCCTAAACAATGGATATAATCACATGCTTATTAGTCTCAATATTTAATTTAACAAATTATCTAAAGAACAATTATATCTAATCATTAATTAGTTAGAAAATAATATATTTAAAAGTATTTGTCATAACTTGCCTCACTCTTATCTAGTGATGCCTCCAAATCTTCATCAGAATCCATTTATGTTAATTAACTGAAAAATATAAGATATAAAGATTTATAATATATATATATATATCATATCAACATAATTTCAGCTTGAAAATTAGTAAAAAATAAAATACAATTACTTTAATCAAAATAAATTTGTTGGGACTATGTTTTTAATGTATTTTTTAATACATTTATGTTTTAGCATATTTTTCTGATTGCACATAAAGTTATTGAAGAGTTCAGTGAGGATCGCTTGTAGTTATGTGGAATTGTACTATGATATGTCTCATATTACATTGTTATCCAACATTCAATCCTGTTTTAAAACTTGAAACAACTTTAAATTTTGTCACTGCTTTTGCATTTCCTTTGTATGTATCTTTGTACCTAAAGATAAATTTATCTGACTTAACTTTTTCTGAAAAAGGTATAGATTTAAGTTCCAATTTTTCAATAACATTTCTCTAATGAACTGGATAAATTAGAGGCATGAAAATTTTGAAGTGCCAGAAAAAAAGGCAGCAAATAAAATCTTCTTCAATATTATAATTCTACCATGATCTACATGAATCCAAATCATTTTATGAAGGTGAGAGCTGTCAATACATTTAAGACAACATAACTTTAAAGATGTTGATTAGAAAATGTAAGTACTATAGAAACCAGGCTTATATAAAGATGTATTGTGAAAAAATCAAATAAAGTACTGCAGCTAATTTATAATATTTGTGAGAACAGTTTTGTTTTGTGAATTATCAGTCAATTCTTCCCCTAAAATGCAGATTGGTAATGTATGTAACAGTGTACAATATCACAAAGTTGATATGTATATGATGTATGCAAGGACACAACTTCTTCAGCTTCAACCTCAATAATACACAGGCAAACAATCGGTACAACCTCAAGGTAAACCGCTCCAAACTCAATTGCAGAAAATACGACTTCAACAACAGAGTGATCAACGCCTGGAATGCTCTACCTGAGTCCATTGTTACATCCTCTAACCCTCACAGTTTCAACCTTAAACTGTCTATCATAGACCTCACTCCATTCCTAAGAGGTCCGTAAAGGGGGCATGCATAAGCACACCAGCGTGCCTACCGTCCCTGTCCTACTGTCCCCATTTATTTATATTAATTTCTTTCATTCATATTCATGTTTATATTTATACCTGCTGTCTTGTACATGTTTGACAAACTAATAAATACAAATACAAATTTAGTACTGACAAAATATTTATTTGCTTTGAGTACCAAATGTAAGTACCAAATTTAAAAAAAAGAACAGAATTATCTGTGGTTGAAAATGCCTCTCTCTAAATCACCTAATGACAGGCTAGAGAATGAGTTTTCACTGCAGCTCTGAGATTCCTATGACAAGCTTTTACAGAAGAAATCTAATAACTGCATTCTTTAAACGGAAAGCATTTATGTTGTTAACCAAGTTGTATATAATAATCTTAGACATTATACATAAAGTTGATCAAAATCCAGACGACCAATGTACATCAGAAGTCTGTATATCAAACGAAGCATCCAGAATAGCCTGAATATGAAAGATTTTATCTACAAAAATCATTGAAAGTATTACACAGAAAGCCTTATAGAAATCTGAAGATTCTGTTAATAGAGTTCTGCAGAAAGAGATCTGAATATAAGTCAGCTCCCCGCACACAGAATCTAAAATTTAGCAGGTTATGAAGTAAGATGTGTGGATTCCATTTTCAGGATTCTCCAGCCATCCATGCTGCATCTGTTGCATTTGGTTTCACTGGTTCATCTTTGATCTAGCCCAGTGGTCAGCAACCTTAAACACTCAAAGAGCCATTTGGACCCATTTCCCACAGAAAAGAAAACACAGAGAGCCACAAAACCCTTCCCCTGACTATTTCCTGAGCGGCCACAGAACTAGCATATGTAGTTGAATTAAACATTCCTTTTTCTTCTGAAACTTTTCTTTTCTTGGATTTATCCATGGTTGGCCTACCAGGGGTTGAAAAGCTCAATAAATTACGTCTCAGCAGGTGTCACACATTGGTGGTTGTGACGCCTATTTTGAGTGACAGGGAGCCGCAGCAGAGGAATGAAAGAGCCACATGTGGGTTGCTGACCCCTGATCTAGCCCCTGTACGTTTGTTGCTGTTGCTGCTGTTATATGTGTGTCTCTCTTCTGGATGTCTGTGATCTGTTTCTTAATTTTTATTGTTCCTTACTCTGAAAGTGTATGCTAAGTCATTTGAAGTTGGTTGACCTCTAAAATAATGAATAAACCAACCAACCAATAACATATAGAAGGGTCTCTTCAAGAAAGACTCTTTTGTTCTTCTCTCAAGGTAGCCAGTCTAACTCATGTTATAAGAGGATTCGCCATTGCTGCCTCCATCCAAGTTAATCTACTTCAACTGGATCATCAGCTCAATTGGGCATTGTTTATTTGTATCCAATTCATGTTAAAGATGCAAGGAATTACAAATTGGTTCTTCAATATTTAAGACCCCTTTCCCTTATGTTTCTGCCACAATGTTAAAATCAGCTAGCAGGACACATTTGTATGTCCCACCTGTGGCAGTTCAATTATTAAGCCCTTCCCCAGGAGATCTATACCTATATCTATATGATACCAGGATCAATGTTGATTACATTGATGCCAATTTCAATCTAACTAATTAAAAAAATGGGAGGAAGGAGGTTGTCACTAAAGTAGGTTATAGTTGTTTTGATTGAGTTCTGCCTTGAAAGCTATAATACAAAATATATAACTATATAATATATAAACAGAAAATCTTCAATTTGGGCTTTTTGCTAATATACTGTACAACCACTATCAATATTCTATGCAGTTGAGTACTTTATTCTGCTTCATAGGAAAAGGAAATCCTTTTCCAAACATTTTTCTCGAGTTTGAAATATCCCAGACATAACGCATGGTGCGGTCAGAAGCAAATTGGATTAAAAATATACCCAGATTAGAAATAGTGAACAATAAAAACATGGGAAAAGTTAAATGTTTATAGGACAAGGTATAAAATGTACAAAATTAATGATTGTTAGGAATTATAATGTAAATAAGAGAAAAAGGGACAAGAAGAAAAAGAACAGCATAAAGGGAAATGGGGAAAGGTGTAAATATTAGAAGATGGCCGTTACGAAAGTTGTAAAAAGGGATCTTATGCTATGTGTTTTGTTATATTGTGTTGCGTTATAAATAAAAAAAATTAAATAAAAATATACCCAGGAGATTAAATAAATATTATGAATTGTATATAGTCTTAAGCAAGGATTGCAGTAAACCATTGTATACTTTCGGTATTAAAACTGTTTTTGGGGAAAAGGGCTGCAAAGCTCTTCTCAAAATATTTATCAAAACTGTGCCATTACTTAAAAATCACTCCTTTTTCACGGCGAACTTGTTTTATTTTTTGTTTACCTTGTCTGGCCCCAATTTATTATCTTTCTGGATTTTGTCAAAACTCTTAATGTGTACTAGAAACAGTATTTCCCCACATGCACAGCCTTCTGTCGAAATAACTGTACGCAAGGGTGAAAAGAGATGAAAAGTTTACACTTTCCCCTCAAAAACAGGGACGATTTCTTTTCTGCGGCACTGTATCCCAATAGCCAGCATTGCTAGCTGTCTGCCTCTTGCCGAACTTACACGAAACTAAAATTGAGTCGGTTTCTAGTTTTTTTCTCCTCACGACACCTTGGCCCACATTAAAAAAAAAAAGAAAAAAAGTGGGGGGAGGGAAGGAACCGCTTCCCAACCTCCCCTTCTCGGGTAGCTCCCACCCGCTTTGATGTTGAGCATGCGCACGAACTCTCCTCCGCCTGAAGGGGGCGATGCCGACGCAGCCCAGAACAAATCAGATTTTTTTTTTCCCCGACTCGGACCTCGTGCCTCGCCGGCTCTAGAACCAGGGAAACCCGCGCGAGCATGCGTACAGAACCCGGCGTAGCTGACGCGCCAATGCGCGTGCGTTTATAACCGAGCTAACGTTAGAGGCACCTGCGCAATTCAAAAAGCATCGCGAGGGCTCTCGTTTGCAAGGCCGGCTGGCTTTGTTTGCAAACAAACTCCAGCCTGAGGGTACGAAGTGCCAAGTTCCCTAACCGCCCGCGGTCTTCGCTCCCTTTCTAGTTCTTCGCGAAGCTGCGGTTCGGTAGCTTCAAGGCCCCCAAATTTCGGGACTCGAAAACTACCCGCCGCCTTGACCAAGCCATCCTCTGCGAAGAAGCTGCTGGGACTTTAGGGTGTCCCTGGGGCCCCCGTAACGGCTGGCTTCAGGCTGGCGTTGGAAGTCGGCTGCCCGGCGAGTAGTTTTGCGCTGCGCTGCCGGCGGGAGACGAGCCTGAGCTCTTCCCTGCTCCTTCGCTCTCCCAATTGTTCAGTGTACTTGTAAAGCCTTAGGACAACTGCCCCCCTCATGGCTTGACCCCGTCGCTCTCGTCTCCCCATCCCGTCGGCTGCTTGGCCCATGAGGCCAAATCAGTGAGGTGGTAGAAGGCCCTCTTGGTTGCTGGGCCTGGTTTGTAGAAGTGTTTCCTCTCCTCCATTGGCTGCTTTAAGATGGCGGACCAGCTCCCGAAATTCTGGAGGTTAACAGAATAACAGAGTTGGAAGGGACCTTGGAGGTCTTCTAGTCCAACCTCCTCTCCCTGCTCAAGCAGGAAACCCTATACCAAGTTTTAACTGGCCAAGTTTGGGGGGGAAAAAACTGCTTTAAAACAAAAAGGGCTGCTTCATTCAAAGGAATTTTAAAGCAGCCTTGCTGCTTTACTGCTTTTCTCTCAGTTGTGCACCTTTCCAACTACGCCAACCCTGAAAAAAGGACCTTGCGGATGCTAAGTAGCAATGGTGAGAAAAGGCTTTATCCCCTTGGCCTTTGCTTCAAAAGCTGAGCCTGGTTCCCTGTTTCAAGACGAGACTTGGGTTTCTCAAAACAAAGCTGCCTGAAACCACGTCTAATATGGTCCTTCAGGGCGATCCTATAAGACTTAAAGAGATTGGCACCATGTTAACTCTGTGGTTCTCTCATTTGCTGCAGTGCTGCCCATTTTCTCTGCTGGCTCCTGCTCTTGTCCGTTCCAGCATTGAGCATGGTAAAGAAGAATACTATCCCTGATGGGTAAGTATCTCATAAATACTGCCTAGCCCTAGAGAGATAAAAGGGGGGACGCCCCTGACAGCCCCACTTGGTTCTCTCTTGCCTCAACAGCATCTTTGTAATCTGCAAGACAAGGTGAGTATGATAACAGGAGCATGCAGGTTACCATCCTCCAGGTAAGTATTTTAACCCACATTTTATAATGCTCCATCAGCCTTCAGTATCTCCTATTTCTCCTCTATCTTCAACCTTGGACTTGGAATAAATTAACTCTATAATTACAGTTATGTCAATGGCATGGCATAGAAGGTTGATACCAAGATTACTTCAGTAAAATAACACGATACCATGGAAGAGTTCGGGTTTATTACATGTGGTTCAGTTTACTTTTGGATTAAACAAGAACGCTTTCTGTAATTTCATAGAACTTGGACATATGATTTAATTTTTTGGCAGGATTTTTGTCCCAGTGGCAATTACCCTATATTTTATTAATGTCTGATAGTGTTAACTTAGCCTTCAAAGATATTGCATTATTTCTGTTCTAAAAAGGTGATTCTAAAAAGATTCTGAGCAGTTTATAATTTTAAAAGAACACATGATATTTAAAAAGTGGTCTGTAAAACCACCTAAATAAAAACCAAAACATTGCCATGGGTTTCACAAACACTATAGCCTAGGCCTGGGAACAGATCCAAGTTTTCAGAGATTTGCAGAATTTTTGAAGAATAGGAGCTAGATGTATCATTGTGGGGATTCTACTCCAGTGGGCAGGAACTGTGACATAGAAGGCCTCGTTCCTTGTCCCACAAATTGGCAACATCTAATTTAAAAGAGCCAGATTACACCCAGTCTGCCTGATTGCATTGAATTGGCAGGAACAGAGAAAGGCACTCCCATCAAATAACCAGACACTATTCCATGAACGGTTTTATAAATGATAACCAGTACTTTGAATTGCACCTGGAAGCCAACTGGTAACCAATGAAGTTTGTGAAGCAGTGATGACCTGGGTAGAATGCAAGAAGGCTATTACTTGCCTGTGCCACTGCATTTTGAACAAGATAAAGTTTCTGAATGGTCTTCAAGGACAGTTCCATGTAGCTTGCTTTGCAGTAGTGATCATGACATGAGTAACTTTCTGAAGGACCTCGTAGTTAAGGCAAGGAGGGTGCAGCTGGTGCATAAGGTGAACCTATACAATGATCCTCCTGGTCATAGCTGTCACGGGCTTTTTCAGTAGATTGCAAGTTCAGGAGCGCCCCCCCCCCGCATGCTAGTCTAAAATGGGAGAATGCAACCTAAGACCAAAGATGAAAATGTCCCAAACGTGGGGGGCCTAAATAGCCCCAGCCATTCGGTGAGATCAGGATCGAGTCTCAATCTGTTCCTTTCTATCCAGATCCAAACAGTCTCCAGAGTGGTTAGTATAGTGACAACTTCATACATGCAGTCCATGTATTGAAGCTAGGAAGGACTGCTATGGAAGGATGTAAACATTGCAACACAGTTCTTACAACTCACACAGCTACTGGGCAAGAGGATACCGTGATTGACAGATCAAGAAGCACAAGGATGGCGACACTGTCTTCATTCAGCTCTGCTAAACATCATCAACAAGTGCAACCAATACTGTCTTAATACTTTCCCCTAACCTGAAATCTGATTAGTGTGGGTCCAGTTAATCTCCTTCCTCCAGACTTTCTACAACTGCTTCTGATCACCTTCTCAACAACCTTCATCACAAAGGGAAGGTTGGAAACTGGATGGTAACTGTCCACAATGTAAAGTCCAGCAATGGCCCCCTGAGAAGGGATATACCCACTGCCTCCTTCAACACTGGAGAGATCATCACCTTCATTAGAGACTAATACCATTGCATGGCCACGACCACAGGTTACATCCCATCTTAACTCAGGAAGAACCGAGATCAAAAAAACAGGTTACTGAATTCACAATCTGGAGAACTTTGTCAGGAGTCACAAAATTAGGGCATATCACATATCTCTCATTTGGTCATTCGCAGAGCAGAGCCTTGGAGCACCCTCAATAACTTGTGGGTAATAGTCACCCTTCCCTGAAATCTCCGTTGATGCAAAGCTAAAATCACAATGGATATATTAACCAAAGGGAATACCCCCTTCTGGGCCCAGGTCTTGATAATACAAATCAGGTTGGTCCCCTCACCCACAATAAGATTATGGACGAAGGCAGATTTATTAATTTATTAAGTAACTTGTTCAAAAATAATAGCTATGATGGTTACTATTCTACATTGAGCTATACAAAGCTTGGAAATCATTCCTGTTTGATTGTTGTGGTAGCATTTAAAGAGTTAAATTCAGTTGTCTTATTTATTAAACTCACGCTTAGCTGTTCTCTATATTTCTAGTAGATATGTGCAAATAGCACTTGAGTAAAAATACACATGAGTACATAAGATTTTGATGCTCTTAATTATATATATATATTTATTTGGTCTTTGAATTGGGTAAATCAGACAGTATGCTTTGAATTTTTGATGATAGAACAAAGAAAAATATTACTTAATTTATTGAAGTTTGTTCTGAGGTTATTATATACTTGATTTTTTGCACATTTATATTCATAAATGTGATACAGTGTTTATAGTAATTTAATTTATAGTATTATCTTCATCCCATGCCTGTTAAAATTATTTGTACTTTGGCTTAATAAATAAAAGTGAAAGAAAGTTGTAACTGTAATTAAAATATCTCTTTACAGTGGATATATTATTTGTAAGTATATACACTTTTGTCTTTTATTGCAAGGAACTTTCTCTTATTTTTATATGAGAAATAAAATGAAATGTATAATTAATGTAATATAATTGTCATATATTTGAGAGCCTGTTTGATGTAGTGGTTAAGGTTCTGGCCTAGACACCAGGAGTCTGTGAGTTCTATTCCCACCTTAAGTATGAAAGCTAGCTGGGTGACTTTAGGCAATCACTCTCAGCTCAATCTACCTCACAAGACTGTTGTGGGGATAATAGGAGGATGAAGACATATTATCTATGCTGCCTTGAGTTACTTATTAAATAATAAATATGGGATAAAAATCTTAAAAAGAGTACTTAATAAATTATCTTTAGCTTTTATTCATAAATATCTGAAGCTAACAAACATTTCAGTTTCAATTTCTATATTGTTAATGAAGCCATCATTTCCATAATAGTTGAAATATATGCTTTTATATAATTGTTTTTGTAATAATACTGAAAAGTTTTATTATTTTCTTAGATTTTAGGATCTCTTGTAAAAGGATTATTTTGTCAAAAGTCAATCTTGTAAAACGTTTCTATAAATGCACAGGAATTTGCTTGAATAAGTACTTAAGTCAGTTTCTTTTTAAATGTTTTTTTGCAACCAATTCTGAAATATCCTGTGAAAATAAAAATTTAATGATTTCAAATATCTGGCATTGTTTTATAACATATATGAGTTGTTTATGTTAATGATCTGGTATCATTATATGAGATGCTAATTGTTTTATGAACCACCATTGTTTTGTTGTCATTTTATAGAACAACCACATATAGAATCAAATACATACACATTTTGTCAGACCACCTTTCAGTCCTGGAATTTAAGTAGCTTCAAGGCTTTGCTTTATTTGTATTTCTGACTAGAGTGTCCAATAAAAATTTTCAACTGCTCTATTGTTTCTTTATTTCACCAATCAGCTATAGTTAATCAGTTATGAACACCTAGGGTAAATGTTTATAAGCACATGTGAAAAAGAGTCATTTTAAATAATAGCTTTTTGTCAGATAATAGGTTGGGTGAATCTTTTCACCATGGTTATAACAGGAAAGTATCAAAGCAAAATTGTGAATCCTTTTTATTTTTTAAGAAATAGACAATTTCGCATTCTTTTTTTCAGATACTGCTGACAAAACACGTTCTCGGTGATTTTTCTGAAAAATAGCAAACTAGTTTTAGAATATAACAGCAGAGCTGATCTCATCAGATAAAAATTTAAGACCTAGATGCCCTCTGGGTCTGCAAAGCCTAACTCTTGACTCCTAACATGGTCAATCATTTGGTATTTTTTGCTGCCATCAAAAAGGAAGGACCTCATTTAGCAACTTTCTCCCACCTCTTATGAGAGAAACCTCTTATGAGAGAAACAAAACCTTTGTTTCTTTCCGGCAATTTAAAAGAGAAAAATGAGGGGAAAATAAATTATATAGTACCATAGTACCTGGTTCCATAGCTATGAAGTTAATTAGCAGAAACTGCTCATTTGCTCCCTCTTTCTGAGAGAATGGCACAGAATTTTTTAAAAGAATTAAATATTAATTAAAAGTATTTTTTAAAACATTGGACACATACAAAATAGTAGTCGAAGAGGTAACATTTTTAAAAATATAGACTGCATTTTAAATGGACTTCCAACAGGAAAACAAAAAATATGGGACAAGCAACAAGATGACACTGGTTGTTCCAATTTAGAGACAATTTTGATGTAAAATGGTTCCATGTTGTATGATGAATTTCTTTTAATGATATTAGATATCGGAGACAAAGTTTAAGTAGCAATGTACCTTTTTTTAAAAAAAGTAATCTACAATTTCTAGTTAAACATCTTCCTTATTCCTTAGAAACAAATGTTTTTGGTTTGCTTTCCTGGATTTTCCAGATTTATTTAGTTTACAACCTGGAATCAGGGGCATAGAACACATTTTTTTACCTAACATCGATACCCAACTTCTGCTTTTCTATTACAAATACAAAAACTTCTATCCTTTTAGCAAGGGCTGGGACTATGCCTTTTGCGGTTTGATCATGTTTGAGAGCGTCTGTCACCTTGTTTAGAGTTGATAGTTTGGAGAGTTATGAAAGCAGATTGGCTTCAGAACAGCATTTGAACGAAGTGGCTTTTATGTCCTTATATCTAGTATATTTTTTGCACTAACGTCTTCTCCAAACTGAAATTATCTACATTAAGATGTATGTTTCCTACCTTGCAAAAAAAAAGGATATATGCAGTTGCTG